AAGTTTTAAGGAACCCTAAAACAATGGTAAAGGGGGGAGGGTTAAAAAATTTTTTTTTTTTTTTTTTTTTTTTTGCAAAGTTGCCAAGAAAGATTTACTTACTGCCGCTCCCAGCTAATGGCATCTTTAAATTACTTGGAAAAATTAATAGTTTTCATCCTGGTTTCATCAGTTTCCCATTCCCTCATCAATGGTACCCCCCATGCTGCCATCTGTATTCCTGTTTATGCTCTGCTCCCTTCCATTTTTCCTCCTTCCACATCCTTTATCTTCACCATACCTGGAGGCCAGCTTGTCGCCAGCAGACATGTTGATGTCTAATGGTTTGGGGAGCATTTTTCTCCCCTCAACGCCTGCAGAAAACAGGAAGCCTGACAGGCTGCTGGGAGAACAGAGGGAGGGTTTATCTGGGAAGACAGGCCTTAACCCTCTATCACCATGCCAATGGAGACTGCAGCACAGAGCTCATTGCTCTACAGCTAGATAAGACCTCCAGTCTGAGCAACACTTCCGACTCGACCCCACTTACGACAATGGATCAGGCGAACCAAAGACAGCACATGATCAACTGCTTTGACTATTACCCCTTCATCTCAACTAACTGCAAAACCTGTTTTAATTTCCCAAAAGACTTGAGCTATCTGGCAGAGCTGCTTCTTATTACTGAATAATGCAGAAGAAGACTAATATTTCTGATCATATTTTTTAAAACTTTTTTTTTTCTTCCAAAAGACTGGTGGACCCACAGGGAGCAAAAAACCTGAACAAACTAGAAGAATGAGCTTAATAACCTTTTGTTTTCCTAAGAAAACATAGTTGCAGTTAGTTTTATACGTATATATGTAGAATAAATTTGTGGGTTTTATTTCATATAAATATGATTTTATGGGGAACACAAGGAAGATTCAAATATATTCAAATAGGTTTGTTCACTATAAGGATGTTTTTTTGTCAAACCTGATAAAAATGGTATCTATTTGCATTTTTATGAATGATTATAAATTCTCCATAATCATAGAGGATAATACAGTTTTCATCCTAGAAAACTGTTTTTGTGTTTATGATGGTTTTAAACTTTCATGATACAAGACACTTTGAGCTGCTTTTTTTTTGCTGAAATATGATATTTGATACTTTTAAAAAAGTGCCATACAGACTTAGATTTCCCTATCTCTACAGCTAAGTTTAGTTTCTTGTTTCCATGAGAAACATCCTTTCACATTAAACCCTTTTTCTTGTCTAAATTTAGAATTATGCAGTTATTGACTTGAAATAAGAGCAAAAACCATTTTAATACATTGAAAAGAGTCATGTTGAATATTTTAGTGCAGCTACTCTGGAAACAGAAAATGATCTTGCTGAACATTAAGTTTTAAACAAAACAAAAGGAAAGTTTCTTCTCTTTCCTGATTTGTTCTTTAGACTCATCACTGTTGCTCCAGGTCCCTCGCGTGTGTACAAGGCCTTATGGGAAATAACCGCATTCAGTTTGTTCTGCAAATCCGGAAATCCAGTTGTGTGTCTGACCAACCATGTCAGGCTCTTAAATCACACAGGACCTGGATTCCACCGGGCACTTTCCGGCTGGTCACCGTAAATGTAAAACCAGGCTTTATCTCTTCAGACTTAAATATGACCATGAATAATGTAGGAGGAGGTAAAGCAAGCACTGATGGGAGATCAGAGCAGTTTTATATGTCTCATATCTCTGTAAAATTAAGTCAGAGACTCTGTGCCACAGAACTGTCAGATCTGATTTATGGCTGTTAAATCAGAGTAATAAGAAAAAATTAATCAATACGGTAATTTGGAAATAGCCATTTTAGAGGAAGTTGGATGATTTAGGGGGAAAAGTTATTGTTAGAGCATCAGCTACACAAGGAGGTAAGGGCTGTAGGAAAGGTCTTCAGAGAGGAATTAATCTGATTTGGGTCACCTCTTTCATAATCCTCTGCTGATTATGCAGCGGAACAAACGATGTTGCTGGGAATGGGATTTGCTGCATTCCTTGCCTGCTATTAGTTATGTATGTCAGCATATTTGTGGCTGCGCTTGTCTGGCAAGAAATTAACTTAGTCACAGAGGTCTGAAACAATAGCGAGCAGGAATCGCTGAGCCAATTGCTTCACCTCAACAAAGGTAAAGCCATTTCGCTCCAGCAGACCACTTAATAGCTTTGGCTGATGCAGAGTTTGGAAATCTATCAGTCAACAAGGCCAGACGGAGATGAGCGGACTGCTCATCCACAGAACCAACGGGTGGGACGAAACAATCGTCTTGGCCTCATCACAAGTTCAGGTCTTTCAGTCTCCGACCTCCCGTCCAAAATTTGATTCCTGAGATTGAAAAGGGGAACAGGACAAGAGAAGAATGTTTTATCCTCTTTTCACCAAATTGCACTGCAGGTAGCATGTGCTCCTCAGTCCACAGGGAGTTCTGGTTCTGCTGGGCAAAGCAAAAGTCCAGACAACTTGTAGTTGCCAATGAATCCCTTCCTCTCTTGTCAAAGCAAGAAAAGGCAGCTTTGTAAGTCAGATTCAGTGAATATGCCCCGATGATTCTCATTTGTCAGATCAAAACTACATTTTGAAAACAACAAGCTTTGGGGGGGGCATGAAACATACTTTCCAAATGATTCTGCAACACGTCAATATATTTGCTTTTGGAACAATCAATATGACTGACTGAAGTTACCTGACGTAAATTATTTTAATGGTTGGTAAATAACAGACATTTAACCATTTCTGAACCACTAACATCTTTTTAAACTATTTATTTTTATATAATTAGAGTTTTATTTTTTTATTTTCATTCATTCACACAATTAGGGAATCAATGATTTTAATCAATTATGGAATTTGCAAATTTTTTATTAGGTTAATAGCTTCCTGATAACAGTGCTTTGTGAGACATTTTTTGCTTTGTTGACAAGTATCGTGGCATGTAGTATATTTCTTATATTAAGAAATATAGTTTTCTTAATATATTCCATATATTAAGAAGACTAGTCGGAATAATTCTGAAAAACTTTTTTTTAGACCTTTTAGTACTTTAAAAGGTCTGTATCATATTCTGTATGATACAGAATATGATGTAAAATGCTGACTTTGACCAACTAAACTCAGCGGTTCTGGGAATCACAGCAGTGCTGGGACATTCATGTTCACCTGTTGGGTCTTCTGCTGACACAGCGACTGCCAATACTGGTTTATTACTGTTACTATTACTATTACAGTTACTCTGGATATGTGTGTGTAGGTGTGTGTGTGTGTTTCTGTCTTTTTGAGTCTTTTGTGCTAATGCACAGAGAAATGTGTATCCCACAAGGGAGATCTGGTCTATGTTACTGTATCATACTGGTACTGAGTAATGTCTCGAACGTTTGTCAGTAGGTTGCAAACACACAGTTAAGCCAAACATTATTCACACACCTGGCATTTTTTTAAGTGTTTTTTAATTTTACCAGTATGTTTCCTCTGACTCAGGCTTCTTCTAGAAGTCCAAATAATTATAATAATAATGTGCTATATTATTTAGTCTCTCTATATTGCCCTTTGCATTGTTGTTTGCCCTGCGAGTCTCTGTGTTGCCCCGTGATGGACCCTGTGTTCACCTGACCAGGGTGTAAATAGATGGATGTAGGCATTGATGAACATTTGCTATCATGTCTGATAGCTGTCAATGAAAGACACAAGTGATAAAAAAGTGAGACTCCATTTTTGTTTTCTTTAAAGACGTCTGTCTCGTTACCTATCAGAAAAACGTAAATATAAATATGCCAGTGGTATGAATAATTTTGGGTCTAACCACAAGTCACTTACTCAATAGAACAAAAATGCTTCTGAAATAAAGTATTAGTAGATAAACAAACTAATTTCATTCACAGCTTTTGTAACACAACCTGTACAGACAAACTTAAACAATAGAACAGAAAGTCCAACATACACACAAAAACGTTGAGAAATAGCAGCAGGACAAACCCCAACAAACTGAAAAGACACGCAGAGAACACAAGTAAACCAGCGATATGACATGAAAACTGAGTTAGTCACTACAGGGGAATGTGATTACCTTGTGCAGCTGAAAACTAAAGGCGTTTTCCTGCCAGAGCCGTTTCCTCTTCTTTAACAGAGAAAAATACACTCCATATATAGTCTATCGCAATTAGCCAGATGTTAATGCTGTCTATGACTTGGATTGCACTGAGAGAATGGCAACAAACAATTAACTCAAAGAAAACAAAGTAAAATTGATTAAAATATATAAAAATAACAGAAGCTGCACAGAATCCAAGTCAATATTACATTCAGTTTGAATCAAGTTTGTGATTCAAACTGGCAGGAAGCAGGACAACCTGTCATGTCTTGTCAGGGCTAAAGGTTTTTCCAGTATTTTACAGATTATTGGAGAAGAACTTTAAAGCCTTCATGAATAAAAGGCTTTCTAAAAGGTATTAGAAAAACAATTCTGTATCTTTTTTTATCATCTGTCAAATGTCTACATTTTCAGGTGAAGGTACCCTGTTTGTGGGTAAATCTTTGGCTTGTGTCAAATGTGTGATGCTGCAAATTGAAAGCAGATTTTATTTTTTCCCTTATATTCTGTGGTTTATGCTTCATTTAGGATTCAAATATCAAAGAGGGGCCATTTATATGCTGACCAAGTGAAGATGATATGTTGTATTGATGGTTAGCAGAGCGGAAAGTGTTGCAGGTAATGTAACTCTTCCTGCAAGTGCTGCAAAATTTCTTCCCCTGTAAGTTACTGTTTTCAGACAAGCAAATCTTATACCAGAAAGAGAGTTTTGAAGGACATTGATGTTGTTCTGTTTGTCTGACTTTCCATTTACCTTGGCCCAACTTTTAGATTTTCTAAAAAAGTAAGAGCATGTACAACTGATATAGCCAAGAGGAAAGAAACTCTGACAGAAAGGGAGAGATAAAAAGAGGATTATGGCACTACAGGTGAATGCTAAAGGTCATGGGAAAATGTAAGAATAATACAGAAGCAATTTAGAAAAAAGTACATTTTCTTCATACTTCAGTGTGTTCAAAAGGACAGTTTGGTTTATAAGGGGGACTACGTGAACTAATTTTCCTCAAATTAAAATTTTCCATTTCAAGAATGACTAGCACCTCTTTCTTACTGCTTGTCTATCTTACATGTGTGAGGAATATAAAGACCGCGTGCATATTCTGATATTAAGTCAGACTGCCACTGTTTGTTTAAAACCAAAGTTTCTGACTTGTTTGTTCAATTTCTTTTTGTGTATTATATTTTGTGTTCTGTTACTGGTTTCACTGTGTGTTAGACCAATAGTGCCTGAGTGCAATAGTTTACTAGGAATGGTTACAATTTCTTAACTGCCATGTTACTGATATTTACTATCATTGCAGTTTTCGTTAATAAATATTCATTTTCTGCACTTTAAAAGCATGCTCTCCAGTTTTTATTTTGACCTTGAACCAGTCAGAAAAAATTGGGGGCTCGTCCAGAATTTTGACCCGGGACTTCTCACACCAGAACCAAGAAAAATACCCCAGTTTAATAATGCCAGCTTTATTAAACTGGCATGGTTTACTATAACTACACCTGAGTCATAGCAAACCATGACTCAGTTGGTAAATCATGACCAACTGAGTCATGGTTTACCAACCAATGCGAGAACAGCTTATGGAGGAGTCTCATACAACAAAAAAGACTAACTGACGTAGATACCAGAGTCAGGAAAACAACACACTTTCTGCTGCCCCAAACAACTCAAAAACCCACACATTTTCTTACAGATTGATCAAATCGCAGTTATTATTGACACCTGATACATACAATATAAAAGCAAACATGACATTTTTTCTTCTCTCTGTTTAGTCTGATATTGAATCTGACTAAACCTTTCCTTTATATAAGACTGGATAATGACAAACAGATTTTT